ATGGTCCCATTTAATATCTGGATAGCAATTTGATCATCTTAATGATTCATTTTCCAGACACATGTGAGGAGAATATGAATGAGATGGCTCTTTATGTGGCCCAGAATATTTTTCTGATACTCTGTGAAGTATATCAACCTTAGTGACATAAAATTCTACTGTGTAAAATTGACTTCATTTGTAAATTTTGGTGAAAATTTGAAGGACCTCAAATCTCAACTTCAGGCCAACTTTTCACAGGATGTACCTACAAGGTCAGAGGAAAATATGGTCACTACCCAGTCACAAGTGGAGTGGATTCTACACCCTCTACACTAAAGACTATGACCACATGACCAATAGATTTGTAATTGCTTCAAGTTAAAAAAAATAGCCCCTAGTCTGAGTTGTACTAAAATCTGTGTATATGGGATTGAGTGGGAAAAGTAGTGGTTAAGAACCTGAGGTTATTTTATGAATCTAGATTACGTATGCATTTTTTATTCATTTATTTAGCAAAACTAAAACAAGGATGTGAAACATGTGAAAAAAAAAATTCAGTTTCTTTGAAACCATGCCCTAACAAAGTCACAAAATCAAATCCCAATCCCAAGACCTAAATCCCTTCTCCTCTAACAATAACAAAGTGTTCATACTCATTTATATCATATATTGAAGAGCAAAGTTAAGCTGATCTGGAGCTAATCTTCTCTTGCTTTGTCTATCAAGTTACAATTCCTCTTTAGCTCACCTCATTGCCCTAAGATACAGTGGGAAAAGAATTGGATTAGAAATCGATGACCTGATTCCAACTCTGTTGTTACTTGTCAATGAGTCAATTTCAACTCATGGTGACCCATGTGTGCAGAGTAGAACTTCTCCACAGGGAAAGTTTTCAAAGCTTTCAGAAGCATATCGCCAGTCCTGGCTTCCAAAATCCCTCTGGGTAGGTTTAGACCAGCCATTTAGCTAGTAGTCAGGCAACTTGAGCAAATAAATCTCTCTGACTCTCAGCCTCTTCGTATATAAAAGAAGAATATTAGCACTGGTCCAGCTACCCTAGAGCATGCTCTGAAAGTGTGTACTATTTCATTATGCCAACAACTTAGTCACTCATGCAGGACAAAAACACTTAGATTTCCATACCATAATTAAAAACTGAAAAGGAATATTAATTAGGAGGAAAAAAAAAGAGAGAGAGAGAGAGGGATTTTCTGACACTATCTCCTTTCCTAGCCCTCTGCTAATCTGTTAAAGCACTGGGCCATTTTTAAGAAATGTGCTTACGTGTCTATCTTCCCTACTAGATTCAGTTTCCAAAAAACCACCTTGTCCTATAAACCCTGTTTCCCATTCACAGTTTCCAGCAAGTCTTTGACATTGAGACACACTTGAAAAAAAAAAAAAACCTCACTGTTGTAGAGTCAGATCCGACTTATAGTGACCCCTCCTTTCCGAGGCGGTATCACTACAGAAGTAGATTGCCCAACCTTCCTTCCAAGGAGTGGCTGGTGGGTTTGAACTGCTAGCCTTCTTAAGTAATGTTAAACTGAACCCCTTCTTACTTACTAAAGTACTAGATGTTTTCATTGAGGTGTTTCCTCCTTAATCCTGTGGATTTGTATCACTGCTTCTCAGAAGACTATCTCTCCAGCAGCATATTATAAAAATCCATCTGCTTATTGGAAAAGCCCCTTTGTCTCCACACTAACCTAGAATCATTCTTTGCTTCTTGGGTCTGATTTAGTGAAAAATTGTCTGAGTTTTTTGTTTTTGTTTTTGTTTTTCTATCTTAACACATTTACCATTTCTTACAAAAATCTTCCAGTAATCATGGGAAGCTATTTTGTTTCAAAATGTCTTGTTCTCTCTCAAAAGCAGACCCTGTCCAGTAAAAGATGAAGAAACTAAAGGTATATAGTCAGTATTCACCTCAGACTGATGAAGCACATCAGTTATCTAGAAGAGCGGTTTCTCAAGGGACATTGTAGTAAAATAACCAAAATAACTCTGTGGTAGGGAAGGAGGAACTCACATCAGACTCTTCATCGACCTTCTGTGTCATCTTGAGCAGACAGCTTAACCTATTCATATGTCAGCATCAGTAAATGAGTGGTGAGGATGTTCTTCATGTCTGATATTCAGAGTTAAGAGTATATTTTATGTTACCATGAAGGATAATTGTTGTTATACTGAGGATAGTTTGAGATAATATGGAGAATGTTGATACAATATTTGACTTAAAAATGGATCTACATAATCTTAAAATAAACATACGGTATAAAAATTTTAGTGAATCTTATTCTCTGTAACTGGACCTCTAAGTTTGGTAGACAGTTAAGAGACTATTGGGGTCTTTGAAAGATGGTGAAATAAATCAGTACTAGTTGAAACTACCAGAATGAGGGAGTCTGGTAATCACATGGTCCAAGGGTTATTAAAATCATGATTATGTGGTATAACTTTCTGGTGTCACAACAGCATCATATAGAATAACCACTATTTTCCTTGTGTTATCTAAAATGCTAAGGAAGGATGTTGTCACCTAGTAAATAGAGATTTGCTTTGCTTGGAAATGCAAATTCATGGCTCATTTATTCCTTCTTTCAAAGAACACAGAGAAACTATTATGTACAAAACACTGTGTGAGATACTGAGTGAACCATATTAAGAATCAGACATGTGTCTATTATTGGAAATACACACACATACTCTCTTACATAGATTCACACAACTGTGATAAATGGTATAAAGTAATAAGTAAACACCGTGGAACATAGGAAGATTAAGTACTCAGAGAAGGGAAACACTTCAACTGAGGGCAAAAAGCAACAATTTTGTAGAACAAGAAATATGAAAGCTGAGTTCGATTTATACCAGAGGCAATGACAAAAAACAGCAAAAGCAAAGCAATAGAGGCTAAGAAGCATAGCATATGTAAGAAGAAAATTAACATCAGTTATAACATGTAACACTTACCAACTGTTTATCATGTATGAAGAGCTGTGCACACAGCTCTTTCAGTAATTCTGTGTCTCAGGGAATCCTTATAACCCTAAGCGGTTGGTTGTATTAGTGTGCTCATTTACACATAGGAAAATGGAGGCCCAGGAAAGATACATACCTTGCCCAAGCTCTCCCAGTAAAGAAATAGCAGGTTGTTGGATATTGCTGAAGCTTGTGATTGTGGCAAGTAGAAACAAAAATAACATTTGAAAGGTTCATTGTGGCTAGATAAATAAATAGGTTTGAATGCTAGACCCTTTCAGTGAATCAAACTAAGGAGGGACTCAAATGAAGTAAATATAAAGTAAATAATAAGACACTCTGCATACTTTTTATATATATTTTTTTAAAGTCTATGCTCACTATATTTTTTAAGTAGCCAAAATTCAGCACTCCCTAGTATCCTTGCTAATGTCAAAGCATAAATTGCCAATCACATCTGGAAGGGATGTTAGTGTCCTTTCTAGTACAACCCTCTGGTAATTGAAGGTGGGAAAACTTATGCCTGAAAGTAATCAACCCTGATAAAATATTCTATTTAATTTAAGCTTTAAATAAAGAATAAATATATGTGTTGGCAAACGACACTGGTCAATTATTTCTATACTACTATTGGGAACTGACAACCAAAGATTATACTAAAAACTTAAAATCCCCTGGCACTCATACACTCTATGCCCTGCTCAGAAAACAATTAAGTTGTGTTCTCTTCTGTGCTTTAATCATACCAATGTGATTCTATTACTCCACTGAGTTGATTGGCAACCAGATGTACACACAGCATTTAGCACAGATCCCCTAAGTGGACATGCATTAATTCCCCCAGAAAGTCTTGTAAATAAAAGATGCATCAGAACCTCAAAGGATATTATGCTTTCACAGAGATTATAAAGTGGCTTGGATTTTCCCATGTTTGTTCAGCTGTTCAGAAATTAAATTCCATGAAGTTGAGTTCATATTAAATATGTATTATTGAATACAAATATTTTGTACAAAGTATGAAATTTCTCTTAGATGTTTGTATGCTACCATCAGTAAGCCCCTACTATGGGAATTTACATTGAGTGTTTATATTTGGTTTATTATTCCAACAGCTATGCATCAGTGCATTTGAGTTATAAATACATCCACCTAGACATCTATTCAGGGCTCTGTGAGTTAAGTTAGCAATTTTTAAAATCTCAGTCATGTGCTGTATCATTTGGTTAGTTATTATAATATTAGTAATATATTTATTGAGTATTTTTATTATTGTTTCATTCTTTATTTGACTCTTGCTTTTTAAAAATCAAAGGAATATTTTGTGAAATCTCTTTCAGTAATTCTGTGACCATGAAATTGAGCTTCAATATCTTCAATAGTGCAGTATTCATGATGTGATCCAAAACACATATTTCTTGCAACCCATGATACTCTCCCTCTGATAAAAATTATCCAGGAGTGTACTTTTAAACCATATGCATTGAGCATTTCTCAATTACAAAGTAGATTTCAAAGATGATATAAAAGCAATGTTTTCTGGATAAATGTGCACAAACTAAAAACACAATTTAAAAGTTCCAAACTTTATTGTAGTTATTCAAGCCAGCTCCAGTCCTCCAACTTCTAAATCATTTCTACCTTCCATTTTTCATATATTTTGTATACCAGGCTGGTGGATAATTGGACATTTCAGTCTGCATATCCATAAAACTAATATGCATTTCAACAATTCACTGTACAATGTTAGGTGTATTTAAAATGCCATTGGTGCTTTCGGTAGCCCCTTCCAACAATTATCATTAGATTAAAGTTACAATATATAGGATTATCTGAAATTATTTAGGTTGGAAATGACCCAAACTGTAAGAGTTGCTATTTAAAATATAACTTTTATTGGAACAGGGAATTGTAAATAGTGTGTGTGAGAGAGAGAATTGGAGTGAATATCCCAAATAACTCATCTGAAACCACAACTCAAGCTAATCACGCATTACTGAACAGAGAGATTTACTCAATAAGAAATCAAATTCTTGTTTTCCATATTTTCACCATAATTTTATTTTGTATTTACAGTTTTCAATTTCTAATGCAAGGGTCTAGCTGAGGATTTACGGGACTAGGGAAGAGGAATGGGGTTTGGAGGTGAGGGATCAGAGGCCTGAGAAGTACCATTAATAAAACTAACAGGATGTGAAAGTCTTCCAGAAGAAATTCTTGCAGCCAGCTTTACGTTCTCGGGGTGCCATGGCTGGATTTGAGTTAGCAGATCTCTGCAACTCCAGCCTCATGTCATCCTGCTCAGCAGCCTGGGACAAATCTTCAGGTTCCAGGGCATCGTTCTCTGTCTGGTTGGGTTCAGACATTAGCTCTGCCAAGAAATACTTGGCCAGCTCCTGTATAGGGCAAAGAGAGAAACAGGGGGGAGAGTGATGAGGATGAGGTAATATTGATCGTGATGATGGGGAAGAATGGAAAGCCTAGTTTGCACAAGCAGATTCAGCCAGCGTCAAACGCAATTCTCAGGGCTGTACACTCTTTGTCACACTTAAAATCAGCTAAAGGTACTAAAAATAGGGGTAGTTTCTGTAATCACCAAGTTGCACGAAAAGACTTCAAAAACTCAAGCGTTCCTGCAATTGTTTTGCCTTTTTAGACTTAACACACAGAGAGAGAAATGGCTACAGATAGTTTAAGCAGTTTTACAAAGATAAAGCATGTGCCAACAGTTTGCTTAACTCAATCTCTAGATCATGAGTTACAAAATGGAATAGTTCTTACCGTTTTTACCAAGTCAATTATGGGAACAAGACTTGTTAACAATCGCCAACACACTGTGTTCGATTTGTAGCTTGCCCCTCACTCCTAGCCCCGCTGGAAGGAGGGGCATACTACTAAGAAAGGAAGCAGCTTACAGGTCCGCACTTTCAGCACCTGGGTCAGCACCCCTGTTTTTCGCACTGGGGATGGATCCCGTCCTCGCATCAAGTTAGACAACCCAGAGGATCAGAATTTTCTTGAATATCAAAGAACCCACCGGAATTATGATCGACTACCCTGTTCGTGAATAAAAGGGAGGGGTGGTAAGAGAGGATTCTGGGTTCTGAAAGTTTTCCTGAGAGCTTTGGGAACTAAGGGACCAGAAATGCACCGAAACTCTGGAGGACAGGGCACATTTCAGAGTTGGGGCAAGGCAAAGGGAGGATTGGGAGATACTGAAGACTGGAAAGAAGGCATAGAGAGGTCTCCTTACCTGCTTCCCCGCCGCAGCAGCCAGAGACTTCTGCAGAAACTGGCGGAGTCTGGGGTCCGAGGGCGCTCCGGTGACACCGCCCAGGGCCAGGACGATGGAGAGCGCGGCCAGAGCGCACTGGAGGCGGCAGGACAGCATCTTGGCTGCGCTGGGGAAGCCGAGCAAGAGGGTGGTTCCTCAAACTCCGGGCGCGGATCCGCAGGCAGCAGCGACGGCTCTGCACCTCGCAATTCCGACAGTGGCTTGTGTGCTCACCACGTCTTCCCCTTTTTAAACTGTCTCTCTGACGTCAGGCTAGGAGGCGCCCCCAGATCTCACCATTGCTTTTACGCACCATTAGCTTCGCGAAATCAATCACAGAAGTGAGGGGAGGCGACACGACCCAAAGTTGCTTACTTAAAAAAAAAAAAAAAAAACACGATTTCACACACACCAGGCTCTCTAAACAATCCTTTATTCAATGCTGCACACATACGCATTTCCTAATTTCACTCACACAAACATGCACACTCACAATTACACACAGAGGTTCAAGCACCCAGCCTTTGCAGAAATAAACACACTATTAAACATAGCTACATTTACATAAATATACCCAGGTAACTCCATCTATCATTGTTCTCAAACATTTTACAGGGCAAAAGCAAGTGCAAATGTGTGTGCACATGGCAAATGGAGGTTCAAAATCACTCCTCTAAGAATAAATCTGAGACTGCAGTGTGGTGGTTAGAAAGGACTGAACCATCTACTGTCTCCATTATCTATGTAAGAAGGCTTAGAGGTGCAGATGTAATGGGGCCCTAAAAGAACCTCAATTTTTCCTTCTAATGGGGGAGAAGGTACTTTTGACTGACTTTCTCTTCCTCTTTGTCAGCAGCTGAAAGACTTGTAGTCTACCTGTCTTTCCACAGTGACCAAAAAGAGAGAGAGAGATTGACTTCATTTTGGTGCTTACAAACTTGGAGCTGGAAGGCAATCCCAGAAATCATCTAATGGATGAGAGTTGGGCTCACTGGTGCCTAGAGACATGCAGTGAATTGCTCTAGCTCACATATAGCACAGCTGGGACAAGGACCAGACCTCCACTTCTCAAAGCCGGGGTCCTTTCCATTCAGCTTTGAGTTTTCTAACAGATTCCTGAGCAGAAGGTGTAGTTTTAGGTCAGGAACCCTCAATCTGAATCTGTGTAAGTGCAGGAAACTCCAGGAAATATGTGACCATTATTGGTTCTCTGTATGTAGAAAGCATCAATCAGATTCTCAATTAGATCTAGCCCCTACACACACACACACACACACACACACAGATACACAAAATGTGCATACACAACAAAAGTTTACAAAACGCTGCCCTAGAATTCTGGTTGTGATCTAGTTAAATTTTTGATGTCTATCTCAGAGTTCCAGCAGCTTTTCTCAAAAGAATTTCTTTTCAAGGAAGGGCCAGCTGCTCTAGCATGGACCAGATGATCTCCACGGACCCTTCAAGAGTTTCAAGAAAACTTTTATTTTTTTAAAAAATATACTGCATCCACAGAAACCAAATCAAGCAGAGAACTTGACAAATCCCATCATCAACCACACATCATACACTGGAATATTCTGACCTCTTAAACCAAACCACATGTTGAGTGATGCAAGGGGCGGGAGGAAGTCTTGAATAGCTTGGATCAGTATCCCCCTTTTTGTCTGTAAGCCAAAGTGTCCTGAGCTTCTGGGAAAGAATGTACAGCAAGGAGAGCTAAAGCTCTCAGGTCTTGATAAATCCAGGCAAGGCTGTGTACCAAATGAAGCATTAGATAGCTACTCTCTTTTCAGAACAGTCTGAGAAAACAATGAATCTAAGGCATGCACATTATGTTCTCTGTTTATCTAAGAACCTTCTTTGGTCCCTAAATGGGGGTTGAGAATCTAGTTGCAAAACCCCACTGTCCTCTGCCACCCCCAAATTATCTTATATCTCCTACCCCCAGGACTTGGCCCTTAGCCGCCACACTGAGTAGTGGAGGAGAGTTTTCCTAACATCAGAACCAGAGAAAGAACAAACAGCAGCTCTACCATCTTGCTCTGTGCTGAGATCTCTTCTTCCTCCCTATCCAGACTCCTGCTCTTCTATGTCCACATCCTTACCGTCCTCCTCTTCCCATTTTCCTCTCTCCAATTTCTTCTTTTTCCTAAATTCCCTCTGAATTTCTCTCTCAGAATCTTCACTGTACAATTCATCTTTTAACTTTTTTCTCTCTGCCACCATATGCTCATTCACCACATTTTTTTCCCTTCCCTCACCTCATTTTCTGACTTCAGTCTGGTTCACATTGGCTCTTGCTCCACCCCCTCTGCATTTCTCCCTCCCTTCTCCTCCTGCTTAGCCAATATCTATCTCAGTCTCTTCCTCTGGGCATCTCACTCTCTTTTCTCTCCCTCCTTCCGTTTCTTTCTTCTTCCTTCTCAGCTGTTTCTCACCAAAAATATCCATGATCCTTAGATGTTTAAAAAAAGACTTCTTGGTAATAGTTTAATCCTAGGTTGCTTCTCTCACAGTCTTGCTGAAGTGCTGAGGCTGTGGGTGAAATAATTTCTGGGTTTGTTTTATTTTCCAATTCTTGGGTTATTACAAATCTTGTTAAGAACATTTACATGAGAAAAGGAGGTAGAGCAAAAAGGGGGCACTATTCTCCTTTAAAAGGAGCTCTGGTGGTGCAGTGGGTAAGGCATTTGGCTGCTAACCAGAAGGTCAGTGGTTCAAACTCACCAGCTGCTCTGCAGGAGGAAGATGAGACAACATATTTCTGTAAAGATATACAGCCTTAGAAAACCAGTGGGGGTAACTATAAGTCAGAGTCAACTAGAAGGCATGGGTTTGGATTTTAGTTTCAGGAGTCCCTGGGTGTTATAAATGGTGAACATCCTTTATTGACAAAATGAAAGTTGATGTTTTGAGTACACTAGAGATGCCTTGGAAGAATGGCCTGGTGATCTGCTTCTGAAAAATAATCATTGAAAACTTTGTGAAGCACAGTTCTACTGTGACCCACGTGAGATCATCCAGGAAGATCTCTTTCACTGGCATTCACTATATGAATGGATACTGAAAGTCCTCCATCATCACTCCCCTTACAGTCTCATCTATATGCAGCCCTGTGGTTTGCAGGGGTTCAGGCATTTTGGCTGCTAACCAGAAGGTCGCGGTTCAAACTCACCAGCTGCTCTACAGGAGGAAGATGAGGCAATCTACTTCCACAAAGATTCACAGCCTTGGAAACCCAATGGGGATCACAATGAGTTGAAATCAACTCAATGACAGTGAGTTTGTTTTTTTTTTTTGGTTATGGTTTACAAAGCACTTTCTCATCCAGTTCCTCAGGCCAGGAAGGGCAGCCAGGCTACCAGCATCTCTAGCCAGCCTCTAGGCCTTCCTGTGTGCAGCTCTTCTGACCAGGGTAGGATTTCCTATCTCCCTTATGGAATGTACATTTTGGAGTGACCACTTGCCAATATGAAGAGTAGAAACTTGTTTTAATAAAAAATAAAGAAATCTTTAAGTAGACATATTAAGTAATGTGGGGAAGTAGAAAATACTTGGAGATCTGATTTCTAGTTATGGTTGTGCCACAAACCAGCTGTGGGGCATCCTTTCAGGACCTTGATTTTCTCATCTGAAAAACAAAAAGCTTGAACTAGGTAATCTTTTTAGTTGATTCCAGCCCTGGTAATCAATGTGTTTAAATCTGACTAAATAAAGAGAAAAACTATAATGTACTATGATGATAAAATGCTGACCCTTCCTCAAAAGAGGACTTTATGTTAGAAAACAACCTGGCTTTTGTATAGTATGATGGAGGAGATCGAATGCTGTGGAAACTTCACAGACCTGTTAGAAAGAAGACCTGTCTTCCCCATTCTGGACCCTGAGTTTCTTCATCTGTAAAATGTTGCTGTTGTTGTTATGTGCCGTCGAGTCGGCCCCTACTCATAGCGACCCCTCCTTGGGTTTCCAAGGCAGTATCACTACGGAAGTAGGATTGCCCA